AGAATTAATTATTATTTAAATAATGTGATTATTTAAATTTGAATTTGAATTGTGAACATAATTTAAATTTATCCTTTTAAACTTATTTGATAAGTTGTTCAATTTAAAATTCAAATTAATTTAAGTTTGACTTAAATTCGACTTTGAATTTGAATTAAAAATTAGACTGCAGGATAAATGATGATTTTCTCTTCCTTCCCTTTCTGTAATTGGCGCCACACACAGGGATGAAAAACCCTAAGGTGGCCAGCCACTTAAGGGATAAGGTGTAGGAGATTTTTTGTTCCAAATTCAAATATGAGATAGAGATTTGATTCATTTTTGAAGTTTGACTTCTACTCTTTAAATATGAGAATGATAGAAAATTGTGAAGACGATTTTTGAAATATTTTTTCTGCCCTAATTATTAAGTGTGGCAAAAAATTCTCAAGAAAAAAGTGAGGAAAATTTTTTCTCCTAAAAAAATTTCACATCGTGCATGCGTTGGTGTTTGTGGAAATTCGAGTGTTTTTGAAACATGTTTTGTCTCACGTGTGCCCACACACACGTCTACGTGGAATCAAGGAATCGACGTGGAAGACTTTAATTTTCTAAACACAAAGCTTGGACCAAGGATTGTTCGAGGTCAAAGAATTCAAGTTATCATTCGAGTTGGCTCCATGTATTTTTCCTAATTGAGTTCTTGACATATAAATTAATATGTTAATTTATTCATGCATAAATTAATATAATCTATAGAGTATGTCAAAAGTTTTATGAAAATTTTTCTTATACTTGATTCGCCTTCCCGCCACGCTTCCGCATCCGAATTCGATTCGGCAACCAACAATTGGTATCAGAGTAGTCTATAGATGATATTAATTTATGCTTCGATTATTTGATAATCAAAATTGATATATTAAATATGTGATATTTAATTATGTATGTATGTGATGGGTAGACACTTGCATTTATGGATGTTTATTTTAATTCATGTTGATCAATGTATGGATGGTGGATTTGGTCGTTAATTATATGGTTCCATGAATCGGTTATATTCATTCATTGATGAATTATTTGTAATTTAATTCGGGATTAGAATTATTGTAATTCTAGGTTTTTGGTAGAATTAGGGTTTTGATTTTGAATCAAAAGGAGGCCTTGAAGATTAAGTTTGAAGCTTTTGAAGATGCCCAAAAACTGCCCATAAAATTTCCAGAAATCGTCCCCAGTGCGCGCCCCAGCGCGCGGACAATCCGCACGGGCACGCGGTCAAACCGTGCGGGCGCGCACAGCGAGCGGCCATCCCGCGCGCACCTTGGTGCGCGGCTGGCAACCCAGATTCGGTAATAGGACCCCGAATGGACCTGAGGGTTTCTAAAACCCTCGTAATGCGTGCCGACGGACCCAGAAAAGTTTCGGACCCCAAGGAAGATGAAATCCGACCCGAAGACAAAGAATGAAGCCGAAGAATAAAAAACTCAAGAATTGAAGACCCGTTGATATAACGAAAGAAAATAATTATTGTAATTATTTATTTATTCGATTGAGTTGTAATTTATTTTTTCATGGGACCCGATCAAATCCATCTCAATAGCTGATTGCATATATTTATATTTTATGTTGATAATTATATATTATATGTCCATGCATATAGCATGTCATATAGATATAATGTGCCTACTCATATGTTTTATAACATGCCATGCATATACGCGTATTTGTTATTGTTTATTTTATTTATTATAAAAGGGTTTTAGAAAAATAAAATAAAATAAGAACCATGCACTAAAATCGATTTAATATGATTAAATTGATTTAAGTTGCAAAATTGATTTGCAAAATAATGTTACATGTGAAAGTCAATTTAAGAGTTAAATTTTAGAATTTCACATATCTGAAAAATAAATTGTTTATTTTTTAATTTGAAAACCATGAGATGTTTTTTTTCAAACAAAATACATATTTACAAAATAATGAGTGGGAGAGGGTTGTATGACAATATAACCCACTGGTCTCCATCATTGGTTTAACACCGTGAGATTCGAAAGGGGCTTCGCGGCGGCACCGATTCCGCACTCCCTACGGAAAGTGTTCTTTCGGATTAATAACAAGGTTGACTTCCTAGCGATAAGATTCGAGGATGTATTTCCGGTTTGACCTACCCTACGGCGGCACTCCGGAATTAAGTCTGTAGAATCTGAAACGATGGATTACATTTATAAAAATATAATCAAATTGTTGATCATATTTTTGACCAAAATTAATGGTAATTAATAAATATGAAAATATGAGATATTTTGATTGTATTTATTAATTGAGAATGTCTCGGTTCAATTTGCAATATCTTAACCAACCCTACGGCGACACTACATTCGTGGTAAATTGGATTATCGTTGACACCTAAAATTAAAACATGATTTATGTATTTTTCATGTGCATCATGCATCATATTTAATTGTGCCTAAATTCAAATGTTTTTGATATTCATGCCCATAAAATGATTAGATGAATATTCTATTTATTTCCAGCAACATGTCAAATCCTATTATCACACTACT